GTTGGTTTACGCTTCAGCACATGGTTCAACCTGAAGAGAAATGAAAAGTTATCACAATAGTCTTTCAAGTGCACGACAAAGTAACTTAATTACAAAAGAAGATAGTTCAAACGTTTCACAAATTGTCAAACCCCAATCCACCATTTCCTGAAACTACAATGAAAAAGAAAGGCCTGATATTTTCTCCAAATCCGCAGGTATTAATTTCATTTATCTGTTTCTTATTGTACTTTGTTCAGTATGCAAATATTAGTTCCATCATATCTTTAGTCTCATCAAAACTGCCTAGTGTGGTTGGACAGTGTGGGTGATGTTAAAAAATTAAAACATCCAACAAGAAGTAAAGAGGAAGGGATTATGTTAAGGAATATTATCATCCTACATTTTCCGCTTGAAACTAAAAAACAAAAAGAAAATCCATCACTAACCTTCCAATACCTTCTCTCCATGACAACTTCATGAAGTACAAGACACTAACACTTCCCATAAACCAACTTCAGAGCCAACCATCTTAATACCATGGAAAGTAATGTCTCTCTTTGACATCTTCAATGTCATTGCCAATCTATTTTAACTCAAAATAACCTCTTTAATCGTGGTCAAAATGCATATAGAAACTTCTTATCCACATGCACTAACTCAGCTTCATACAATATGTCAAAATGTTTCCCCATTGGCACCCTCCCGCTCTAAGTGGTATAACAACAGTTGAGATAACAGAGTATCCAATGAAGCAAGTATTAGTGAAAGTTCCTCGTACAAACGTTAATTGTTTCGCCAGTGGTACCTGGAAGCTTACCAGAAAGACCATTATGTGAACGATGCATGTAGAACCCTTGTAAGAAGCCAGTTTCACCGCACAAGAGAGGTCTATTCCATTGTTGTAAGCAGAGTTGTGAAAAGCGGTCGCTTCCTCGCTTAAAGCGAGAAGCAAAGCGAGGCGATCCACTCACCGCTTCTACTATCTGAAGCGTAGCAGGTATGAAAAAGCGGTCACTTCCCACTAAAAAGCGAGAAGCGACGATGCGAAGCGAGACGACTAAAGCAAGCGCTTCTCTGTTTTAAAGGGCTGCCTAATTAAAATAGTTGTTCTTTTATTAAAAGATATCGACCAGCAAGAAAGAGGTGACTAGGGTTCCAAGTTTTCTACACTTTTCAACTTCAAGATCATCTCCAGGTATGTGATTTCTTTCTTCTTCCTTCTCCTCCTCCTCCTCCTCTTCTTCTTCTTTCTCTTTCACTGTTTCAACGTCCAAATAGCAGCGAAATGCTGGGGAATTTTTTTTTTCTCTTCCGTTCTTCTTTCTCATTCTTCTCCTCTTCTTCTTCTTCTTCATTTTCATGCACTGTTTTTCGTTTGAAATGCTTTTTACTGGAATGGTATGCTGCCCTTCCTCTTATTTTTATATCATTTATTCTTAGTTCTTATTGCCCTTCCCTTCAGTATTTATTTTAATATTTTCTTTTACATTCCGCTTCACTTCAAAAAAGCGAGCGCTTCGCTTCTCACTTTAAGCGAAAAGGAGGTCGTCGCTTTTCCTCGCTTCACGCTCTTCACAACACTGGTTGTAAGATGCACAACACAAAGTAAATGACATGAACCAATGCCACTAGGTCCAGCTGAACACCTACAAATATCGGTGAGATGCAGTAGGCAAGAAGAATTTCTTTCATCTCTCAGTCAGCTGGCCAGCGTTTCTAAACCATATATAGTCACAGTAATATTATCAACAACAACAACAACATACCCAGTAGAATCCCACGGGTGGGGGTTTGGGGAGGGTAGTGTGTATGCAGACCTTACTCCTACCTGGAGAGGTAGAGAGGCTATTTCTGATAGACCCTCGGCTCAAGAAAAGGTGGAAAGGAAGAATAGGGGAGAAGAAGAAGAAGAGAGGGGGGAGAAAGAAGGAACAGGGAGGCAAAAGACGATAAGCAAAGAGGAGAAAAGTAGCATCAAATAGTGACCATCAGGGAGCAACAATATCCAGTAAAAGGGGAGAAAAAGTAGCATCAAATAGTAATAATTAGGGAGCAACAATCCCAGCAGCAATTTTCAAAAACAAAGGACGTGGTTGCTAAGTACCAGATACAAACAACAAACTAGAAGGAAGTAACTTTCAACCCACAACAAGAATATTACTAGTACTACTGGTAAACTTAGGAGAAACTCACAACTACCTGTCAACCCACCACCTTAATCCTCGACCTCCACACCTTCCTATCGGCTATCGCTAGTCATGTCCTCAGTTAGGTGAAGCACGGACATGTCCTGCCTAATCACCTCTCCCCAATACTTCTTTGGCCTACCCCTGCCCTTCCTCAAGCCCGCCATGGTTAACCTCTCACACCTCCTGACTGGGGCATATGTCTGTACTCTTCACATGCCCAAACCATCGCAGCCTCGATTCCCGCAACTTGGCTTCCACGGATGTCACTCCCACCTTGTCCCTAATAACTTCATTCTTGATCTTGTCTTTCCTGGTATATCCACACATCCATATCAACATCCTCATTTCTGCTACGCTCATAATTTGGACATGGGACTTCTTGACGGGCCAACACTCAGCTCCATATAACATAGCAGGTCTAACCACCACCCTGTAGAAGTTGCCCTTAAGTCTAGACGGTACATTCTTATCACATAAAACCCCCGAAACTAGCCTCCATATCATCCAACCCGCTCCAATGCGGTGAGTAACATCCTCGTCAATCTCCCCGTTGCCTTGGATTATAGACCCAAGAAACTTGAAACTATCTCTTGTGGGAATGACTTGAGTATCAATCTTTACTTTTACTTCCTCTTCATGCCTCTCATCACTGAACTTGCACAAGTATTCAGTTTTCGACCTACTCAACTTGAAACCTTTGGATTCCAGCGTTTGTCTCCAAACTTCCAACCTAGCGTTAAACCCCCTCGTGTCTCGTCAATCAGTACTATGTCATCAGCAAATAACATACACCATGGCACCCACCCTTGTATGTGTCGTGTCAGCACATCTAACGCTAGGGCAAACAAAAACGGGCTAAGGGTTGATCCCCGATGCAACCCTATCTCCACTGGAAAATGTTCCGAGTCTCCTCCCACAGTCCTCACCCGAGTCTTAGCGCCTTCGTACATGTCCTTAATCACCCTAATGTACGCTACCGGAACTCTGCTAACCTCCAAACATCTCCATAGCACCTCCCTCGGGACTTTGTCATAAGCCTTCTCAAGGTCAATGAATAACATGTGCAAGTCCTTTTTCCTCTCCCTATACTGCTCCACCAATCGTCTCACAAGGTGAATGGCTTCTGTAGTTGACCGTCCCGGCATAAATCCGAACTGGTTCTCAGAGATAGATACACATGTGCTCACTCTCTTCTCCACCACCCTCTCCCAGACCTTCATAGAGTGACTCAGCAGCTTCACAGTAATATTGTCAGACAAATGAAAAAGTCATGTTCTTACCAACTCTTCGTGTATCATACCCATGAGTTATAAAGAAGACCTTTGACGTTGTTCCCAAGCATCAGCCCTATCACTCATAGCCAATCAATTATATGATATTTATGAATTATGCAAGGAATTGAATCCTTGCACTGCCTTGATCCACTTGGCGACATCCACCCCCTTACCTACTTACATTCCATTTTTCATTGATTACATTCGAAAACAAAATGTTCAAGTTCGAATATTTCTCTTCTTTCTTATGTCAATGATGTTTTATTTCAGAGATAATAACATATATAGTCACAGTAACATGGCCAAACAGCTCATTGTCTGACAACTCTATGTAATATGTACTGCAGGCTGCAGCTTCCAACAGCAATATCATTTCTGGGATTGGTCCGCAAAAGTTTTTTTGAGAGACAATTGTTATTGAACTTCAATTAAAGAGCTAAGAACTTGGACAACATTAGGAATTGGTCATCTCCTTGCTGCATGAAATTCAGTCCACGTAACCAGAGGTGAAACTCGGACTTGTGATGCCATACTGGTTTTCCCAAAACCACGATAAATAGAATCATCTCAAATGGAATCTGAAATCTGTCTACCTAACAAATCCTACCGAAATGTAGATTCTGGAGCCTTCTCAAATTTGATACTGAAGGTTAAGGTTTTCAAGTGATGTCAACATCAAGCTGCAAACTTCTAATTGGGAAAGGTTTGAAGCAGGATAGAGGCCTTCAATTGAAGCTATCACAAGTCACAAACAATGAAAGATATGAAAGAAATGCATTACCGATAAGCATTGATTTCAATCACCAATCAAGCAGATCATATATCAGTTCTTTTGACATAAGGGCAAGGAGTAGTCTCATTGAAACTCAGGTCACGTGTGATAACTATATTATTGCTTCATAAAGTTCTTGCACCTAAAATCATAGTGAGTGAAGGTGTTATAAAGGGAATGAGGTAGACCCAAAATCAAATGGAAGGAAGTTGTCTCAAAAGACCAACAATTTCTTTAAATTCATGCAGACTTAGCTTATGATAGGACACAATAGAATAAAAAGATCTATATAGGCAATATCAATTAATTAGGAATATGTTTTCAACAAGTTAGAATGTTTACTTTAGGTCATATGCTTTCTAGGAAACTTTTAGGCCCTATTAGATTTTTATGCCAGTAGAATATAGAAAACTTCTAATACATTTTATTTTTATTTTTATTTTAGTAAATTGTTAGCTTGAGATATATTCAAATCTTGTACGCAAACATACTAATTGCAATTATAAAATACTATAATAGAACAAAAACTTGTGACTTGATTACGCGATGAGGACACTTGTTAAACTATGTTGATAGAGTAATGGTAAGTAGGACTTGGACTAAGATGTATGTGAGATGAAACGGAATGTCTGGAAATTCCACAAATAGTTCTGTTCATGTTCTATATATTTACTACAAAGTATAAATGAATACTTTAGGAATTAGGAATCAATATCTTTAATTATTTTCCATCCTCTTTTTTCTTTTTCTTCTACCTCTCTATCTTTTGTGATCCGCTTTGGATAATGAGTATATTTAAACATCTCTTGAATAAGAAAGATCATGTATAGTAATCATAAAACAGCAAGAAGAAAAGGAATCACTTTCAGTGAAGATATAAACAAATGATGCCTGAAAATTTTATAATTCAATAACATGGCAAAGAATTTACACCAATTGAAACAATATTTCAATCAAGATCTTCATCAGCAATGTAATGCCCGGCCTTAGTCTCCTGCTCAATATAGACATGATAAAGCGCAAAATGAGCCAATCGAAGTGGCATATGAGTATAATAAAGCATACAAACTGAATACCAACAAACACACCTCTGCAAGACTCCTATACTTGTTCATCAACTTAGTCCTTCCCTTGCTCACTAGAGAACTAGGGGACATATTCATCCTCTGCAAGGAAAAGGAAAACACGTGTAGATCTTAGTGACGACTCAATATTACACGAATAGCTTCAGAAATTACATTGCCAAAATCAAAACCTATGTCATGAAACAACAGTAAAACACATGTTCAAATAAAGATTACTTAATCATGTAACTGCATACCTTTGAGCAAGTTTCTCTTCTTACATCGGGTAAGAATACCCGAACAACCACCTTAAAAGGGCAATATAAAGAAAGATGTTATTACTTCTTAAGGAGTTTAAGTAGGAGCATGAAAAGAAAGGGCAACAAAATGACTAAAAGCAGGAGGAAGTGAATGGAATAAAAATAATCTTAGGAGTGCCAATATCAAGTAGATAAATGGAAAATCAGTTGCACTCTAGATTCTATCGGTACGGAAAGGAACATCATGGGTGATTTTAACACAACACAATGAGAACTCACAAAAGCTCACCTTTTCAAATTCAGGTATATACAGTTCTACGCCACTGGTTTTCGTTGCTGGTACAAAGTTAAATATGTTGTGGAGGTGTTCGTTTTCCTGTTATCAAGCAAATAATCAGCTGCATTACAAAAGTAATTAGTGTTCAAGGAGATGAAGACAAAAATGTCGAAACTTACCATCATGTGTTTTGTAAAACCATAACCTAAAAATCTTCTTATGTAACTTATCTGTAATTGAAGTCCAATTTTAAGAAGAAGAGGTAAGCCAAAAGAATAGCAATCGTTAACATATGTTAGGAAACAAAGATGTTAGGGCTAAGAAACCTGTTTCAATTGTGACCAGGTACTAAAGGTAAGTCTTGTTCCGCATAATGTGAGGGAGGTCGTCTTATTGTAATCATCCTGCAATCGAATTGTTGGGCCTTTTGGAAGACAGAATACAATATGGATATTTATTACCACAAAAGATATATGTATACCTCGAGAATTTTTGAAGCATCTTGTTTGGTGCCATTGCATGCTCTCTTCACATGCTTCATTATGTCATCTTTCATGTTCTTTGTATTTTCATATTCTTCCGCTTGATTTGAAAATTTCTCAAGACTGCCATTTTCAAAAATTATAGCAAGTGCTTCAATGCTAGCAGCATTAACATGTTCATCGTTTTCCTCTAGCTGTTTTAGAAGATAAGGGATCAATCTGTGCCAATGAATGAAGGCATCAGCTTCACCACTTTTAGCAAAGTGAAATATATCATATCAGAAAAATACCTAAAACACTAAGAGGAATACTAGCAATCGGAAATTCTACTAACTACACTAAATAATTTTCGTGGTATACCCTTTCCACTTTTTGTGATCAATACTCCATCTATTAATGTTTGAAAGGAGGAGAGCCCAAGCTGATATTGCTGCAGCAGTCCTGGATGACGGATGTTTGGTCCCCTGAAATTTCAAAACGTACAGCTTTTAAAAAACCCTCACATAAATTTGGCAAACTATAGCAAAATTCATTAAAGTAGAACATTCATTATCAAAACGACTTAAAATATATAGGTTTACAAAGTCTACTACATAAAGAACCGTACTCTGGGAAAGGAATTAGTACTGAAACAACATTGCTTACTACTAATCCACGTATTCATTTTTCCCTTAGCACTCTCACTAGCTTAAGGATTCGCAGTAATGAATCGAATTAAAATTTCTTCCTCCTTTGAACAATTATAAGTAATAAAAAGAATGCAAATGGTGATGCTCTGATGCGCACTTTAACATAGTCCAAAGCTAGTTCTCCATCAGAGGTTCCATAAGCTACTTCATATCGAATTACTTATATTTTCATTTTGGCAGAGTAGTTCGGGACTCCCCCTGAACTTGGCAACTTTTGTTTAGTTCCTCCTTAAACTTCACGTGGTCTTTAATACCTCCGAACTTGGCAATTTCATAGCCTCGACCCCCTGGACGCCGACAATTCATGGGAGTGTGACACACGCACTGCCACATGGATATTTTTGTCCATGTGGCATTTTTTTAATAAAATATATATTTTTATCTTGTTAAGTCCACCATCTATTTAAATTATTTTTTCCGTAAAAAAAAAAAAACTTGAAACAACGTTATTTTGATTATAATTTTTTATTTGGCTAAAAATAATAATATTTTAATCAAGTTACTTTCATATATTTGGTCAGAAAAAAGAAGGAATACACAATTAGAATAAATTGTTATTGCATCTAAAAAAATATGTTGTTGGAACTCCATATATTGGCTAAATAAATGTTTTAGCTAAAAAGTAGTAAAATTCCGATCAAATATTTGCGAATTTGACTCAAAAAAGAAAAATGCAAAGTTTAAATAAATAGTCATTGGATGAAAATAAAAATAAAAATATACAGTATTTTTTCTTTTTGTAGAAAAAACACCATTTGAACTTCATTACTTCGGCTAAATCTTTTTTTTATTTGGCTAAAATAAATGGAGTTTCAACTAACTTTTGTAGATTTGGACCGGAAACAAAGATAAAAAATACATCGTTGAAACATATATTCATTGTATCTAAAAATAAATACAATTGGGATAAAATATGTAATGTATATTAAGAAGAAACAACGAGAAATACAATTGGAACAAATAAATCATTATATTTGATTATGTGGCAATTAATATTTGTAAAATGCCCCACCTGGAAGCTGGTTTTTCGATTTTTCTTCCCTCCAACACGCCTAAAAGAGAGTCTATTCACACCCTTTGCCACATCAGCATCTAGAGGGGTAAAGACTATCAAATTTTCAAGTTCAGGGGTATTAAAGATCACATGAAGTTTAAGGGGAAACTAAATAAAAGTTGCCAAGTTTAGGGGGGTCCAGAACATTTCTGCCTTTCATTTTCTTTAAGTATTTAGTTTCCAACATATTTTTCTTTTAGGTCAAATGCTAAAGAAAAGTTATGCAACACTATAAGATGTTTTCTTAATTAAACATCTTAAATTACGATATTGTATATTGAAGAGATTTTACAATAGCTGCTTCAATATATATCTCTAATAAAACAACTCAGAAAGATAGAAGAAACAACCGCCTCAGCCCCAGCACACCCCCGAAAAAGCAACTGGCTTGGGTGAATACTCATATAGTTAATGCAAGAATATGTGCTTAAACTTGATTAGTCAAGGATACATATCTTCAATCAAGTAAGGAAGATCCCATACATGTTATTTCATAGTTAATGATGCATTGGCATAGAAATGGACAAGCAAAACACATACGGTTATATAATGTTTGCCGAATGTTCCTCCATCTAGTACCATATGAAGATAACTTTTGAAAAAGAAATAAGTAACTTCCTTTGGACTAGCTAATGGAGGGAATGGATGTTGAATTTTAGCCCAAGAAACTTACTTTGGATTTTGATTCCTGATTCATGAATTGCCATATAATTTCCATTGATCTTTCTGTGTCTACAAAGTCTCTAGCAGCAACAAGAGTGACAATAGACAAACACTCCATAACCTTGACAGAGTGAGATAATTTGTAGTTGAGGAGTTGAGGAAGAAACACCAATGATTCTTCATAAATTTCATGTGCATCATCACCCGCACCAAGAGTGAGTACTACTAATCCTATAAGTTGTAATGCTAAATCAATCTCCGATGCAGAACCCCGTTTCAAACAATTTTGGCATCGATGTACCAAAGTGACAAAATTATTCTCAGCAAATTCATAACGAACATTACTCTCAAATTCCGCAACCAATGTCCTCAGTGCTTTTTCTCTCGCCGAACTCCTAAGCAAGGTATAAACTTGAGATTTGACAGGGAAAAAGGAGTCATGCTTTGAGACAAGTAAATTTAAGTGGTTTGATTAGTCATCCAGTCACGAAACATATATGAACTCAAAATGACTGATGAATCAGGATTTTCAATTACAATTTTACAACTGATATTAGCACCAAAAGATGGACAACAAAAAGCAATCAATTATTAGTAAGCAACAAGAAGACCCACAAAGAGCTCAAAGGTTTTACCAAATAGTTGTTCAAAAGAATAAACACCCAACACAAACTGGACAGACGAGCACATAATTTTGGGAATACAACACAATTATTTTATTTTAAAAAAAAAACAATTCTCGCTCAGAATTTGAAACAAAAAGAATTGGGGAAAAAATCTTACTTCTTTTTGAATAAATCTTCTAAATAAGGCGAGAGCTTCTTCTTTAGAATGTGTATTGGACGCTGTTTCTCCTCCATAGCAGAATCGTCATCGATTTCCGGCGTGCTAAACCCTACCTGCCGGTTAAGTCGCCGACTAAGATTTTCACCTGACATTCTCCAAATTGGTTTGTCAACGTCCATATTGCCTCCGTCTTTTTTGAATTCTAATAGTAACTATTTGGCACTATCATGAAATTGAAGTTGTTTGCTTCACACCTTTTCCCTCCAGAAAACAGATTTGGATTCCCTAACTGTATTTCTGTTCCCAGTAGGGAAAAGGATGTTGATTTGGAACTTTCAAGCCATAGAACAATGGGTTCTTGAAGGTTGGGTATGGGTGTATGAATTTGGGGTCAAAACAAGTAATCTATGCACGAAGTAGTAATGCAAGGATTATTTACGGATTATTGATTGTTCTAATTGGTTTCAAAGTTACTCTACTTTTTCGTTTGGCCAAACTTTTTTTGTTTTTTGTCAAAATTATATTTTTCAAGGTTGAGTACTTTGTGGTCAAGCTTTTAAAATAGAAGAAATATTTTTAAGTACAAGTAAAATCAATTTTTGCAAAGTAGAAAAATATAATTTCTGTTTTAAGAGCAATTTTTTTAAAAGTACTTTTGAAAAAAATACTAATATAACTCATGTCACGACCTGATTACCACCGAAGTCGCCACGGCGGTTATCACTACATGCTAGGCCAGCCAACAGCTCACAATATAAATAAGCATTTGGATAAACATGGTTTATTAAATTTAACAGCGGAATGTCGTAAATATATGAATAAAACAATAGTAAGACTACAACAACCATTCCCAAAAGTACATGAGCATTACTGAGTATCAAAACATAAACCAAATCCTTAGTACAATTGTTTGAGTAATAGAACAGTACTAAAGAAAATAAAGGAAAAGAAAGTAAAGGTCTGCGTACGTCATAGCAGCTACCTTGAAGTCTCCAAGTGATGAACTTGAAACACACACTAAAATATGCTCGCTAGTCAAATATAGTAAAATATAATATCGTATCCACAAGGATTAGAGTTAAACAGTATTATCGTAATTTGTAGTTATATTGCTATCCAAGATGATTAACAGTTGAGATTTAAGTGATTTAAAACTAGAAGTAACTAAGAGTCTAAACTATTGGTTAATGACAATCAACGCAAGTAATGAGCAAGGACGGTTATCAATTGGGAGAAAATAGGATTGATAGGATAAATGCAAGACAAGTGTTTGGGATCTAACTCTAGATAATTCACTTCTAATGTTCAAGCGAGTCTCTCGAATTCACTTGGTTATTAATTCAAATTTTTAGTAGAAACTCCTCCTCTCGATTGAGTTTCAACTCACCGGATGAATCAATTTTAAGCACGTGAAGATATGCAAGAATTCGTAGTGGTTTGGTCTTTAGGAGAACCTCTCTCGATTATCCTCCTAACTAGGTTTAATCAACAATTCTACTAGCCTCTTTCGATTACTAAGAAGAATTAATGAATTCAACCAACAAGATAGAATGCAAAAATATCACAGGTTATTCCTCTCTCAATTACATTAACGAGTAAATATAGATGCAACGATTAAAACATCCAAAATGATTGAATACATAAAACTAGAGTTAATATCCACAAGCAAGTATCAATATACCAAATCCATCAAACCCTAAAGAGAACTACTCCATAGACATGGAGTAATTCATCACAATTAAATTTAAAGTAAAGAAAAATATAAAACAATCCAAACCATTATCTTGAACTGGGATTGAATGATGGATTTCTTGTGCTCTTGCTTCTCCAATTTCTCCTTAGCCTCCTTAAGTCTTAGATATGTCAAAAGTCCCAAAAATACCGATTTTGCATGTATATATACCAAGTAGGGTTGGGTCCAAACGAAAACACCTTCTTCTACGTAAAATATGACACTTTTTCGGAGTTGTGCGCGGCCGTGCACCTGGAAGTGTGCTCGCGCACTTTTCACCCTGTTCTGCCCCACATGCGTACCCAATGCGCGACTAGTGTGCGGACGTGAACTTTTCACCCTGTTCTGTTGGGAATTTGGGAATACTTAAAATATGAAAGTTGTAGCCCTTTTAAATAATTTTCCAATGATATAATGTGGAGCCCAAGCGGAGATCTAAGAAAAAAATATGTGCATTTTACTAGACAAAGTGCAGTATGCCTGCTCAATTCTTCGTTCGTTCTTAACTATCATCTGTTGATTCCCGAATACGATCCCCGCTAAATTCCTTGGACTTTTACTCAGACTTCAAAGCTACAAATCACTTGAATTCATTCCATAACATCTACATAGCTCGAAATCACTCCTACAAGGCATAAAACACACAGTTAATGCAAAACACTAGCGATTAAAGCTCCGACTCAATTAAAGTGCAATAAATTAGAATGCAATAATCGACTAAAACATGAGATTATAGTCTACCATCAACAAGCAGGTACTAGCACGGATCTAGCAATCACCACGTCCAGATGTACCTGAATCTACACACGAAGTGCAGAGTGTAGTATGACTAAAATCGACCACGTGTATTCAATAAGTAACAGAATTATCCTTGAGCTCAAAGCTGTGATGAGCTCAGAAGAAGACAATCAGAGTCCAATATAATGACAACACATGTATAATGATGACAATAACAATAAACAACTTAGATGAATTATCATAATCAACTCGTTCATGTTACAGAAATTTAGGCATGCTTTCAAGTTCAACAATTAAAACGCAACACTAATAGGAACATGTCAAGTACAACTATCAAGAGGAATGGTACATCTTTATGCCTACATGTCATATATGCATGTCAAATGAATGACTTCACGATGATATTCTCAAGTAGCAACACTCTTAGAATACTCAATCTGTCTATCAAATGCCCACTCAACACACACACAATCACTCAGCACTGTACGAGTGTTTGACATCAATGCCCTTCACCAAAGCACGTATATATATCATTGTGCATGCTCACTACTGGTATGTCAGATACAGGAGGGGCGGATCCTGCCCAAGCGCTAATCAAAGCCTATATGGCCTGCTACGGCGTGCAGCCAGATCCACATAATAATAATAATAATAATAATAATAATAATAATAATAATAATAATAATAATAATAATAATAATAATAACAACAACAACAACAACAACAACGGAATAGGCTAAAAACCATCCCTATAGTTTGCTAAATGGTTTATAAATATCCTCCGTCCAAAAAAACACACGACGTTAATTCTATTAACAAAAATACCTCCCCCCCCCCCCCCCGTATTGGGGAAAATTTGTATTCATATATACATGATGATGTGTCCGGACACGTGGAATGGATAATGAGTTGTGCTTTGCCACGGTTCAAGAGTTACAAACAGGTACGGGTAAAAAGAGGCACGAGACGAAAGGTTCAGCGCCCCGTTCCTGTTTAAGCTTATTTACATACGAACAATGAGACGAATAAACCTGGTTAAAGAAAAAGATGCAAATACGGCATTTAAAGGGTATTAAATGCTGGGGCCGTTAAGGAATATATACATTCAATGTAATGATTATGTAACGTAGCATTTAATGTTATTAATTACTCATAATAGCCTCATTATGGCTTAGGCATAACGTACATCTCCAAAGATTCCCAAAGGGACCTATAAAAGGAGAAATATGTAATCACTGGAGGGGGGTGACTATTGAAATATACTCTGATTTACCAGCTTTCATACTTGGCTGTTCTAAAATTTCTTTCTTTATTTACTTTTCCGATTATTAGTAACCCGATTCTTCTAATTTCTAGCCTTGACTAAAAATCTATTTTTTTGGTTAAACAAAGTGGTTCCGTTACCGGGAATCTGATAATCAACTATATTTCAAATTAATTTTCTTGATTGCATCAATCATGTCAAACAACAATGACAACACTCAAGGAAACCCAGAAATTCAAACAATCCAACAACTTCAGGGAGACTCTCCACGAGGCTCTCCACAAGGCTCTCCACGAGGTTCCCCACAACGGTCTCGGGAAGGCACTCCTGATGGATCTCACACAGATGGACAGGCTCAATTCGAAAATGTTGAAACAATGAATGAGGCTTTGCAAAAACTTATTGCCTCTCAAGTCAATAAAGCTCTTCAGGCTTTTGTTAGCCAATTACCTGTTGCTCCACCCACATCTACTCCAAACAACAATACTTTGGAGAATCCTCGTTATGGGTTGATTAATTCAGGCAGTGGTGGAACCCCTAGTGAAACACAAGAGGGAGACTCAGGTAATCCAGTTAATTCTGATTTACAAAATCTAGTACTAACCTTGCAGAAACAGCTTAAGGAGCAAAATGAACGCATAGAACAAATACCTGGAGTACCGCTCGTGATCAAGGGAGTAGATATAGATAAATATTCCCAACAACCATGGAAGCCAAGTGCTGCCCCCCTCCCAATTCCAAAGAAGTTTAAGATGCCTGATATTCCAAAGTATGATGGTACATCAGATCCACGAGATCACGTTACTGCATTCACAACAGGTGTCAAGGGCAATGATTTGACTAAGCAAGAGATTGAGTCGGTCTTGGTCAAGAAATTCGGTGAAACACTTACTAAAGGGGCCTTAACATGGTATTCTCTTTTACCTGAAAATTCTATAAATTCGTTTGCTGATCTTGCAGATTTATTTATCAAAGCACACTCGGGAGCTCAAAAAGTTGAAAAGTGAATGGAAGACATATTCAAAATCAAGCAAGGAGATTTAGAGTTGCTTAGAGAGTTCGTAGATAGATTTCAGCGGGAAAGAATGACGCTGCCACGAGTACCTGACAATTGGGCAGCCATAGCCTTCGCTAGTAATTTGAATGAGAAGAGTTCAGAAGCCACGAGGCGACTCAAAGAAAGCCTTCGAGAATTCCCAGCAACAACATGTAATGATGTCTACAACAGATACAGTACAAAGATGAGGATTGAAGAAGACGTTATTTTATGACATAAAACAGAAGAAAAGGTAAGCTCAAGGCGTGTGGAAAATGAAAAGAGATCCGGTAAAAACAGGTACGAGCCATACATGGGACCTGCGGGAAAAGACTCACGATCAAGGCAAGATAATCAAAGGTACGATCACAAACCTAGAAACAGGGAATCAGGCTCCTCATCGAGGTTCGGAAATGATCGGAACACACGCGGGTCACGAGACGATGATGGAAGTCTAAAGGCAAGGTTCGGTGGTTACAACTTCAATGTAACCACCTCTGAACTCGTGGCTGTTTTAAGAAGCATGGGAGATAAGGTACGATGGCCAAAGGAAATGCGTTCGAATCCGAACAGACGAAACCCTGATCATTGGTGCGAATTTCATAACGATCACGGGCATAAAACAGCAGATTGCAGGTTTCTACAAGGTGAAGTTGATTATTTGTTAAAACAGGGGTATCTTATTGAGTTATTCAGTGAGAAAGGTAAACAAGCATACATGAAGAACATGCAGGAGCCTCCAAAACCACCTTC